GTGTGTGTGTGTTTGTGTGTGAGTGTTTGTGTGTGTGGGTGTCTGTGTGTGTGAGTGTTTGTGTGGATGTGTTCGGTGTGTGTGGGAGTGTGAGTGTGTGTGTGTGTGTGGGAGTGTGAGTGTGTTTGTGAGAGTGTTTGTGTGGATGTGTTCGGTGTGTGTGTGTGTGTGGGAGTGTGAGTGTTTGTGTGTGTGAGTGTTTGTGTGGATGTGTTCGGTGTGTGTCGGTCTGGAAGTGCGAGTGTTTGTGTGCGTGAGTGTTTGTGTGGATGTGTTCGGTGTGTGTATGTCTGTGTGTGTGTGTGGGAGTGTGTGTGTGTGTGTGGATGTGTTGGGTGTGTTTGTGTGTGTGTGTGTGTCTGTGTGTGTCTGTGTGTGGTGGTGTGTTGTCTGGGGGCTTCTGGCGTGCCCCCCCCCCTCCTCGGGAGGAGGAACTGGCGACCTCCCCCGTGGTGACCCCCCGTGGCCCTGCCTGGAGCCTGGCCGTGCCCCCGGCGCACCGCACATGAACATCGTCGACCTCGACGGCGACGAGGGGAGCTTCGACCCGCCGCCGACGCCGCCCGCCCCCTCCGAGCCCCCGCCGGTCCCCAACGGACGCAGCAGGGCCCTCGGCGTGAGGGTGACGGCGAGCCCTGCGGGATATCACTCGACGGGGTCAGCCGGTGGCGGCGCCGCGGGCTGGGCGGAGAGGAAGCCGAAGAGAAGCACAGTCGGCGGCAAGCGATGGGAGGGAGTGAGACGGAGAAGACCTGCTCGGAAGGTGGTCGGACTTCTCAGAAGCCCTCGCGCCTTCCGAGAAGTTTTCTGTGCCTTCGGGGAGGGCTTGGGAAACTTCTCAGAAGGCTGGGGGACTTCCGAGCCTTCTAAGAAGGCCTTCTCCTTCCCACTTCCCCACTTCCCCCTCCCTCGCTCGCCACCAACACAAAACATGCCTAAACATAAACTTTCGGAGCTTCGCACTGCTCTCTTGGATCGGCGCTGGAGCCCCCTGGCGGCGCCTCCGGCGCCGCCCCTGGCGCGGATCCAAGAAATCCGTGCGGACCTCGAAAGGTTCATGTTTCTGTAATCCTTTCGCTCCTCCAAGGAAGCCCCCTCGAACAGTATCGGAGGACGTGGAGCTCGGGGACGATCTGTCCCGGCGTCTAGACGAGATCGACAACAAGCTCGATTGGGTCATTGCTCGAATCAAGACCATGAGCATCGCGGACCTCCGCGTGAGCAGGAGCTCCGGCAAGTCCGACGCCTCGCCCTCCGTCACGGATGGCGAGAGGACTACGAAGCTCCGCAGCCTTGCCACAGATGGAGGCCAGCCTCCAGTGATCACCCTGCCAGCTCGCCCAACCTCCGTCGACCATTTCGAAGAATAAAGTGTTGTACAGACATACACTTTCGGAGGTCCGCGCTGATCCTCTTTGATCAGCGCTGGACTCCCCTGGCGGCGCCTCCGGCGCCGCCCGCCAGGGGAGGGGGGTCCAGCGCCGACCCGAGAACTCTGCGTGGGCCTTCGAGAGTGTATGCCTGTGCCGTCTTTCCTTCTTCCGCCGTCGGAAGAACACGATCGACACCCTCGACAGCCCCATGGCGCTCCAGCAGTCGCTGCAGCAGATGCCGGGGTACCTCCAGTCCAGGGGGTCGAACGCCCTCTCGGCGCTCTCGGACGGCGAGGGCAGCTGATGGGCCTGTTTCCCACTACCACCATAATAAGGAGGAGGAGGAGGAGGAGGAGGAGGTGGAGGAGGAGGAGGAGGAGGAGGACCCCCTCCCCCTCCAACTTATGGTGGTGGTGGTGGCAAACAGGCCCATCAGGCAGCATGCGCATCCCCAATCTCAACCGGAGGCCCTGTCTGGGGCCGGCCAGTCAGGGGTCGGGCCGGCGGTCGAGGTCCTTGCGGGGCTCCGCGGCGAGGATCACGCAGATCCCCGCCATGTTCAAGAGCCAGTTCCTGGCCAGGAGGGTATACGAGAAGTCCAAGCACAAGGATTACACGCCGGTCGTTGAAAGTATATATTATTGGATTCCCAGATCCCAATCTATTTCAAGCGCCTTCTTACCCCAAGAATCGGCATGCTTTTGCTATGTTTTGTTATTCTCTTGGAGGACCTGGACCCAATCCACTATGTCCGCCTTCCTACTTCATGCTTCTACCTACTTCTTCCGACCGACGTGTAAGTCGGGCCTGTCCCTCTAGAGGGGGAATATTCAAAAATAGTAAAAAAATAGTCTGGGGACTATTTTAGGGGCATTGTTTTTTATTATTTTGGGGCATGTTTTGAGTATCTTTTATTTTTCGTCAAAAATCCTCCTGTAGGGGGACAGGCCCGACTGAGCACAAGGACCTGGCATACGTGCAGAAGTGCGTCCAGTCGCTCCCGAAGGCGATGAGGAAGAAACGGAGCAGGGCCGCGGATTACATCTACACGGTCCTGGACGACCCCTCGTCGGGCAAGGTCGTTTGGTGGACCGCCTTCTCCTCCTGCTCCTTCTGCTCCTCCTCCTCCTCCATTTAGTTGGCCAGACCTTACGCTTACGCGGGTTGCGTTCTTGAAGAGCGTAAAACAAATAGAAGTGCAAACTATTCGGCGCAAAGGGTACCTGGCGGGCGCCGCGGCTAAGGCAGTAATGAGAGACAGTGAAAAAGCGTAGGCAGAATAGTAGGTGCCCGCCAGGTAACGCAGCTTGTACCTTAATGGAGGAATCTCAAACAAGTAAACCAATTAACACATATTGGATGCCATGCTTCATTAGGTACATGCTGCGAACAGTAGAAAGGTACAAAAGAAAGAGAGTGCCGTGGCGCCACTTTGATCTACAGCCACATCTGAAGACAGCGTCGGGGCCAGCTCCTGTGGAGACCCAAGTGTGCAATGTGACTGCTGCAATAGGGTTTTAAAGGTTTACCCCTAACCTCAAACAAAGCGTGCAATCGATGGGCTGCGACCCAGGGTTTTGCAGGATAACCCCGAACCTAAGTATAGAGATCCTCGCCGCCGTTACCACGCATGACTGTGCACGCATGATGGATCCCCCCTCCACAAGAGTGCCTGGCCAGTACTGGCGCCGCTCGCGATGGGCAGGGAAGGAAGGTTAACAACGCGGTGCCTGGAGCCTTATTGAATAAGCAGCTTGTACACTTATGACCAGGTGCAGAGAAATTGCAAGCTGATTCTGTGCTCAAATGTATGCGCACTCAGACTCGACCCTCGGCTGTATGATTCTGTGTTGCAAAGGCTGGCCTGCTCGGGCTGGCCTGTGAAGAACCAAGTAGGCATGTGCCCATGGCCGTAATTGCAACTGCCGAACTGTGGCTGGCCCAGGCAGGCTGGTTTAGTATTGAGGCCTTGTAAGACACTAAGGCTGAACAAGATCAAAGTGAAAAGTCCCTCTTGCCAGCAGTAGGCCTGCTCTTTTTGCCAGTAGTAGGCCTGCTCTTCGGTTCCTAGGTGGACGGGCCACCGTCACCGTAGTTGATGTCAGGAGAAGGGTACGCAACAAGGTAGTGGGGAGAGTGATGTAAAGACAAAACACGAGATGTATGAGAAATGGCGTGATGCAATTGAGAGGGTATTGTTGTTAGCACCTGCGTGCCCTTGGGCTCGGAGTAAGAGGAGGGGCCACCTTGGGTGTCTCTCAAAGTCGACCGATAGCGTCTTACCGAAATTGGGTACCGGAAGCCATACAGTAAATAACAAAACATATGACAAAGTCTGGGCGGCAGTACACTTGGTCTACAGGAGTGTCTTGACTGTGGATATACGCACTGTATTGTTGGGGTTTGGTGGGTGACCCCTAACCTCTCGAAAGTAAATGTGCAAGCTTGGGGCTGCGACCCAGGGTTTTGTAGGGTAACCCCGAACCTACACGTGGGACGGTGCCACCAGCGTGTCGGAAGAGCCGCGAGAGAAAGACGGAGGGTGTAAAGTTGCACAGTGGACAACGCCGAAATGACCAAAAAGGAGGTGAGAATTGCTGCGCAACTATCTGTATTCGGCTGGCCTGTAACATAGGCTGGCAGAGTACTCAGATAGGAGGGTGCTTGCAAATGAACTGGAAAGTAGCTGCGAGAGTGTGGCTTGCTTGTATATGCGAGCTACAGATTGCAAACAAGTGTCGCCATGGCGACAAAGCAGAGCTTGTGACTGTCGCTCTGGCATACGGAGGAGGACCTGTAACTGGTGTCTTCCAAGTAGCGTTTAGGCCATGAGAGGGAGGTTCGGGAGCAACAGTAATGATAGGTAAGATCTGAGTGAGGTGAGGTAGAGCGTGTTACGTGCGCGAAGAAAATCAGCAATCCTGGGACCGCTACCCAGGTAGTTTTGTAGGATAGCCCCAAACCTGCATAATATAGGATACCACCATGGTGTCAGTGAGCTGCGCGGGAAAGGGAGGAGAGGTGTATTGCAGGTCAGGTAGTGAACAATATTGCTGTGGAGCTGCTGGGGCTGGGAGCGTGCAGCCATCGATGTGTACTGAAAAAGTGGCTGTCGCCAAAGTGTTGTTGCCTGGCTGTGTCCGAGGCTGCATGTGTAGTGCATAGACTTGACTGAGTCTCGTAATACATGGAGCATGTATGAGTGGCTGGCGCATGTCTTGCTGTTTGGCCACGTACGTCATGAGAAACACCGGTTTAGTATGCTGAGAGATGTTGAGTAATCTCAGATACAATAGTGTGCGGTTCTAGGGCCGCTACCAAGGGATTTGTAGGGTGACCCCAAATTTGCAGATGTCGCATTACCAGAAGGAGGAAGGTGCATGATAGAGTAAGACGCTATATGATGAGGAGGGAGGACACAGGAGATGTGCACGAACCAAAGAAACAGGACATCCCAGGACTGCGACCCAGGGTGTTTTAGGTTAGCCCCAAACCTATTATTAGGAAGTGCCACTGGCATGTCAGAAGAGCCGCGGGGAGAAAGATGAGGAGTGTATTGCAAGTCGGTGGTCATAGTAGACTGTCTGGCTGCTGGTATGGCTGTGCTGCCTTATCAGTAGGGGTCCTTCTGCGGTAATCGGCCCACCAGGAGTACTTGATGTGGAAGTTGCGGTAGTCTGCCGTGTACCGAGCATTGTAGGTCGGTTGTCATGTCTAGCTCGGGTGGCTCGTCGTGGTGTTTGTCGGCTTGGACTTGGGAGCGGCCTTGTGTATCGTTACCACGTGCTTGGGCGGTGGCTCCCTAAATGGTACTCCGGTTGTGTGTTCGTTTACGCTACTGAGGTGGGCCTCGTAGCGAGCTTGGTGTACGCGTAGTCTGTCGATGCAGTTCTGGAACGCGGGGTCACCAGTCTTGTTGATGAAGTTGCTGCGTCGGTTGAAGATTTGTATCTGTTGCTCCCCGCGTCGAGCTGCTTCTTGATGTGCTGCAATTGCTTGAGCGGCTTGCGTCGGGCAGTGCGGGTACCGTGTCGCTAGTGTCTGCGGTGCCAACTGCCGCCACGGGATGGCTTGTAGCCATTGCTGTGTATTGATGTTCCCTTCAGGCGGATATATGGTCGGTATCATGAGTGCTTGTGGCGGTGGGTGTGGCGGTCGGTATATGTACGATGGCGTCCATTTGATCATTGTAGTGAATGCAGGTGCAAGTGTGGCTGCCGCTGCTGTTGTATTGTTGGCGTTCGGTGTGTTTGCCGGTTGTTGGTCTAGGCGCGCTGGCGTTGGCTTGTACGGACGCTTGTGTGGTGCGGTCGTGATTGCAGTGGTCTTCTTGCTACTGCGTATCTTTGGCAAGGGTTTGCGCGGTGTCGTGTTATGTTTTGGTTGCGTGTGTGGTGTGCTGTCATGCTGCGTGGCTGTTGGTGGTGTGAACACTTTAGGTTGCTTCGGCTGCTGTGTAGTCTGGTGTTCCGCTGCTTGGCTGTGTGGGTTGTCAGCTGTGTTTTCGGGCTGGCCGGTGTGCAGTTAGCGGTCCGTGGTGGTGGTAGAGTAGGTGCGAGCGGCTTGGACATGGACCTCCTTCTCCTCCTCCTCCTCCTCCTCGCAGACCTCGCAGACCAAGGGGGTGCCATGTCACTCCAGGAGCAGCTAGCACCGCATTACACGCACAGAAATACACATACATGCCGCATTGGCGAACACATGCAAGTGCGAACGCAATTCCATCCGCGCTGGGAGATCCTCTCCCCTCAGGGACAGGGCCATCGGGACCATACTTGGGGCGACCCCAGCAATAGACCGATTGCCCGTTGTCTCCCAGCCGCCCGCAGGCGTCCAAATTAAGAGTTACTCCCTGGGGCAAGGAGGAGGAGGAGGGAAAGGCAGGCAAGGGAGGCAAAGGAAAACACGGAAGGGAAGCAAGGGGTAATATTTGCCCCAGGGTGTAGCTACAGCCAGGCAAAAGCCTCCGCAGGAGCTTTGACCGCTCTGTCGAACGCTTCGGATCCAAACAGGGTTTAGAGAGCTTATCGGATTTAACCGAAGCAAGCCCCCCACAAAGCGCACAACAACATTATCGGAACATCTGTCTCCACAACCCGAGCCCAGTGCAGTTTATGCCCTGTCCCCGCCCCCCCCCCCCAAGGAGGGAACTCGTGGTGGGCGCCAGGGATTGACAAGGGGTGGAGGTCCGATCCGACACGACCCTCAGACACTGCAGACACCGAAAAAAACGACCCGTGACAGACAGGGAGGTGCTGCGGTCCAACAGGTTTGGCCTCCTTGGGCCTCGAGGGTCGTGAAAGTTTTCCGAATGGCTGCTCGCAGGATGGCCAGGCCTCCAGCACGTGTACGACTCCTGAAACGATTCTTCCATACTCAGCCTCGGCACGCTCGAAGTCTTCGAGATCTTGGGGGCTCAAATTGTGCATTTGGGCCCCAGCTTAGCATGTGCATCAGAGGCCATCGAATCAGCACTGTTCATATAATCTCGATCGCCAACAGCTTCGCTGAACGACCTATGTGTCTTGACCTTTTCCAGGGTGGGTCACGCACCATCCTGGATCCTACGACTAATCTCGCGCCAATAGAACATTAACAGAGACCTCCCCGAGAGGGCCCTGGACGTCGACGCAACACCCGCCAGAAGCCCAGAACAAGCCACCCTCACAGGGTCGGGGGCGTCGGCGGGGATCGGAGGTTCTCTGTGCACAATAGTTGCCGCCAGCCCGAAGTGTTCAGCATCGGCGCTGGTCTGATCAACGGACGAGGGCAGCGGACCATATGTGTGTATATATATATATATATGCATACATATTCAGTCATCGGGACAACCGACAACCCCGAAGCTTGCGCCGGAAATCTCGCCTCGGTCCCCATGGTAGCCCGAACCATCATATAACGTCTCTTTCATCGGTACGAACATCGAAAGGCTCAATACCCTGCCCGTCAGGGCCGACGTACATAGTGACCCATTCAGCGGTGGATCGAGGACGATTTTGCAGCGATGCCCACAGTCTGGAGAGCAAAAGACACGCGGGGCCCGCAGTACCCGCCTGCTCCAGGAACCCCTGGCCAACGTGCTCTTCCCTCCTCCCCACCGCCTCGGGGCACGGGCAGCACCGCATCCTGTGCCAGGCCGCGTCGGGCTCGGGCAGGCACAGCGGGCAGCTCTGCTCGACGTCGTGGCCTCAAGTCCTCAGGGCTTCTCCTGTCGGCGGCGCTCCTGCCAGAACCTGGCGGAAGAGGTGACCCGCATTGGGGGAGAGGCCCTTTGCTGCCGTCCTAAGATAGAGAGCCACAGGCCCCTCGCCACAGGACACCGTCTGAGCACACTGGAAAGAGGTTTCTCTAGAAACTAACGGGCCAAGTCGGCCACAAACGCATCGGCAAGTTGCCGAGGGGGGGGGGGGGGGCTCCGGGAGGAGCCATCTCCGACCCTGGGCACTGACGAACACAGCAGGACCCTCCCACGACCACCCACCTGCCACCAACCACAGGAGCATGGCCGACACAGGGCTTCTGGTCATATACAGCAAGGGCTTCCCTTTAGACTCCTGAAGCTGAAACTCGCACGCCCAAACTTCTTTGCAGAGGGTCCCTATGACGGGCAGGGCCGTGACGAGTGGGTTCCGACGAGCGCCACCATTCCCAAGCACACCGTTTCAAGGAACCTCCAGCAAGATGTACGGGGTCACCCTTGGGGCTGAGGGCCCACATCAAATCTAGGTTGCAACCTCGTTTGTTAGTCCCCCCTGCACGTGCAGCAGCACGACGAATCGCCAAGAGCTCGCTGGGGGGTGACGCTTTGCACATCCATGCCGAAAGAGAGAGTCGGGGAGGATGCCAGCCTTGAACAGCATCGCGTTCTTTCCCCCGGGTAGCTTCATGCTGGACAGCTTCGAGACTCTGAACTTACACTTGTACGCTCTCTTGTTCCGCGCGTCTCGAGCAACGGGTTGCATCTGGTGCTTCCCAGCCGTGAAGGACACGCCCAGTTTGGCAGAAGCCCGCAATCCACGGCCTGCCAAGTGCCCAAGCTCAGCGGCAACAGCTGGGAGGAGAATGCTTGAGCTTGCTGCAGCCACCATCCTTTCCCCAGCCAGCGGAACGGACAGGTGCTGAATGATGACGATTGCTAAACTGGTGGCAAGCTCATGCAGCTGACTTACACCTACACTCATATCATGATTCTAAGGATGCATCGAGAGACCATCTACATGAAGCCCTTGACTGGTCCCAGGGTGCCCACGAGGCCCGACAATCGTTGGGAGTAGGAACGGCTTCGCTTCGTAGGTGGCGGAAGTACTACCTGCAACGACACCCCGAGAGGGCCACAAGGGAGCCGCAAAAGCCCCCGTCCATGAGGAGCACCCTTTCTTACTTGCGCGTAGAGAGCGTGTACATAATGGCATGCAAGGGGGACGTTGAGAGCACACTCTGAGCCAGGAGCTTCTGGTGGCAGATGTGCTCGCAAAACTGCGGGAAGTCCCAGAGGAGGGTCGCAGATGGAGCCCCGTGGAAGCCTCGGCCGAGACGCTCTGACGCCAGACCATGTCGAGAGCACTACGGCCCTGCCGCATGGAGAACTCAGGCCCGAGCCCAACCTGAGTCTCCCAAGCCCTGCATGGGGTCCCCGTGGGTCTTCCCGTGGAGCCTCGCAAACCCATCGTAGTGGCCCATGGGGCGCCGTTCTTTGCCAGGCCTCCGCATGAGAAAGACAATCAACTGCTGCATCTGGATGGGCGCCTGGCCGACCAATTCGACCAAATGAAAGAACTGCGATAGCACTGCCAGGCACCCTGCTGCTTGAGATGAGAGGCTGGCGGTAGACGGCTATCTCCCGCGACTCCAGAATCCTGCGCATGACCTTTCCCTTTCCTTTGACGAGTTCTGCCTTTACCACCTGCCCATTTGCCTCCAACATCCCCTCGACTCTTGCCGCCCGTGCCGCCAGCGTACACCCAGGGGTTGGGCACCCACAGAGGCGGTGGAGGAGGCGGGGGCACAAAAGTGAACTGAGGAATAGGACCCTTGCAATGGTAGCAGAACTTGCAGTGGGCAGGGTTCTTCTTGCAACCGCACGACGGGCAGATGACACCAGTCGCCGATTTCCCTTCATTTCCTCCTCTCTCTGAAATGCCACGAGCACAACTTGACAAGAAAAATGCAGGCAGCTGAGGCCTGCTTGCACTTGGGCCCTGGGTGGCCCGGGCCGGATCAGGAAAAAGGCCAACATGGCTTGAGCCAAAATGGCTACGGTCCTCCTCCTCCTCTCCCCTCCTCCTCCTCCTCTTCTCATTCCTCTTCTCTCTCTCCTCCCCCTCCTCCTCCTCCTCCCTTCCTCATCTCGTCCCCCTCCTCCTCCTCTTCCTTCTCCTCCTCGTCTTCCTCCTCTCCTCTTCTCCTCCTTTTCCTCCTCTCTCCTCCTCCTCCTCCTTCTCCTCCTCCTCCTCCTCCTCCTTCTCCTCCTTCTCCTCCTCCTCCTCCTCCTTCTCCTCCTCCTCCTCCTCCTGCTCATTTACCTCGTGGGGCGAGGTCGCCTGGTGGATTGCCACTTGGCTGCAGGCGCTCGTCCTCCTTAGCGTGCTGGGCTCCTTCCTTCAGACGGTGGAGGACCCGCCGCTGCACGGGTGGCTGGCCGCCGTCGTTGAGACGGCGTTCGATGTCGTGTTTCTGGTGGAGGTCTTCGGTAGCGAATCGTGTGAGCCTGGTGTACCTTTTTGATCACGTCTCTAGCGACGATGATCCTCTGTGCGTCGCCCATTTAGCGCCGATTTAGCGTCGAGTTAGCGTCGACTCGTGTCGATTTAGCGTCGATTTAGCGTCGACTGGCGTCGGTTCGTGGCGAGTTGCAAGAGCCGACAAGATGGTGTGGGAGGCTCCCGTGAGTTGCCACCGGAGAGGTCAGCATTCGCTGGGGCTGTGCGCCGAATACGGTGAATTTCCTCTTCGTGTCCCAATCGTGGGTCGACCTCGTCGCCGCGAGCGCGCTCGCCGTGCGGGCGGCGGTCGGCTTCGTGCTCCCGGAGAGCCAGGACGACCTGGTCTCGATCTTCTTGCTGTGTTTCGTGCCGATCATCCGTCTGCTGAAAATTGTACGGCACTTCGAGACGTTCCAGGTGCTTGTCCAGGCGGTCAAGATCACGATGGAGGCCCTCCCGATGCTCTTGTACGCTGTAACTTTGATCACGATGACGTTTGCCACCTTCATCTACCTCGTGGAGCCAGAGCTGTTCGAGTCCCCCTTCCGGGCATTCTATTTCTGCCTTGTTACCATCACCACAGTTGGCTACGGAGATTATGCTCCCAGTACCACAGCGGGAATTGCAATCAATATTCTTTTGATAGTGCTTGGGGTCATATTGATGGCCGTGCCCATGGGCATCATCGGAATGACGTTCAACGAGGTCTGGAACACGAGGGACTACTCCTTGTTGCTATCGAAGACGCGAGCGAAGCTTCACCAGTGGGGCTACACAGCTCATGACATTCCGACGTTGTTCAAGATAGTTGATTATGATGAAAATGGGGTGCTCGAGCTCGACGAGTTCTGCGAGTTGGTGAAGGAGATGAAGATTGGACTCTCTGAGGATAGGGTCGTCGCACTGTTTGAGCACATGGACAAGGACGGCAGCGGTGCTCTGGACGCTGCCGAGTTTGCGCTGGAGGTGTTCCCAGAAACGTTTGTCGAGGCCTTCGGCCACGCGGGCAAGACCGATTTGTCAAGCTCCAATAACAATTGGATGGCCAACCTGGCAGCCACGATCGGTGGCGGCAGGAGCCACAAGGACACGCCTGATTGACCGGTCCCTCACTGCAACGTGCTGCGCGACTGGCCGCGTTTGGCCATCCCCTCGCGTGCTGCAGCTGCTCCCTCCTCCGCCTCCGCCTCACCACCACCACCACCACCACCACCACCACCTCCACCACCACCACCACTCTCATCCTCATCCTCACGCCCCGAAGCCCGGCGGCGTCGAAGCGTTACAGTCGGACCGAGTTCTAAGATCGAGGTCGGTTCCGGGGGGGCCTCTCAATGTTCTTCGTGTTTGCCGGGCTTTCTCGTGCGTTCTGGGGGAGGGCACCCTCGAAGGTTCTTCGGTTTGGCCCGCGGAGGGTCTCCTGTTCCTGAAGAGTGCTTGTTCGTCCTAGGCCTGGCCGTACCTCGGGGCTCAGGGGCGCACGGCGCGTGACGGGGCTGCCGCGTGACGGGCGGACGAGGCCTGCCGCGTGCCGCAGCGCGCGCGCGGTGCGCGCGCGGAGCCGGCAGCCTCCGGTGGAAGAGGCGGCGTCCAGCGTTGGTGACCGCGCGGTCTTTCAGGAAGGGGAAAAACACACAGACACAATTAATCGTCGATCCCCGGGAAAATATGGGAAAATATGGTAAGTGGGGGGGAAGACGAAACCCCAGAAAATATAGGAAAATATTGGGAATATCTTTATTTGTGTGTATTTATTTGTGAGTCCCAGGGCCCCTTCAGTCTTCGCTGTCGTGATCCTCTCTGGCGCCTGCAGGGCCCGTCGTCGGCTCGCTCCAGGTGGCATCGCGGAGTCTCGCCAGTTCATTGTGCGTTCCCTGCTGCATGTCTGAGGGCGGTCGGAGTACTCACGGTGCCTGTGGGATTCCAATCCAGGGTTCGGGGCGCCCGTGCACAGCGTAACCTTCCCAGGAGTACTCCCCGCCCCTTGCCGACTGGGGTCCGTGTGAGAATTTGATTTGCCAGCATGACAGCGACACTGCACATCACAATTTGTTACTGCCACCCATCCGCATCGGCATCCTCGTCCTCGTCTGCGTCCTCCTCATCCTCATCCTCATCCTCCGCGTCCTCATCTGCTTCCTCATCCTCATCCTCCGCATCCTCCTCGTCCCCGTTTGCTTCCTGTGCATCCTTGCCCTCATCCTCATCCTCGCCCCCATTCCAACATTCCTTCCCATCCGCGTAGGCAAATCCACGGCCTCGTGCGATGGCGCGAGCGCCGGCGGAGTTTCCAACTACGCTCCATCCGTCCTCGGGACGCCGGAGCCATCGCTTTTTTTGTCGGGGAGCGCGCGGTTTTCCATCGGGCTTCGAGCCCCGGAGGGGCCAGGTGAGCCCCGCGCGTCCTCCGCTTGCGTCTCCACGAGCGCGGCCGGTGTCGAGGGCGGATATTCCCGCTGCGGTTCGGCTGCAGTCTTCGGCCTCCGTCCCGCGCCTGCGGGCCCAGGAGGATTGGCCGACCAGTGCCGCGAGCTCGTGCACGGCCGCGCGCGCCGTAGTGTCAGTCGGTGCCGTCTCCTCGCGCGGACGTGTTCCTCCGCCTCGTGTTGCGCTTGTCTCTGCAATGTCAAGCCGCTTGGTGGTGAACGCTCTCGATGCCAGTCTGCGGATGCGCTCACCCGTGTCCTTATCCTCGCCCTCGTCCCCAACCCCATCTATCCAATCTGCATCCGAGTCCGAGTCCTGATCTTCGTCAGCTCCCCCTCATGTTAGTTATTGGCGGTTTTCGTGTATACCCACCAGGCCATCCAAAAGTTATCACCAGCCGAGTTGCACTGATCAGGGTTGCGTAGCAGCATGCAGTTGCGCTCTGGGAGCCTCTTGGAGGCATCTTGGGGCCATCGTGGGCCCCAAAATGGGCCATGTTTGAGGCCGTTTGGTGGGGCCCTTTGGGGGTTCCCTTTTGGCCCTCTTGGGGGCCTTGGGGCCCCTCTTGGGGCCAGGAGGGCTCTTGGGCGCTTCTGGGGCCGTCTTGGGCCCCTCTTGTGCCCCTCTTGGATCTTTCTCGGGCCCTCTTGCAGCTAGCTTGAGGCCCTGAGAGCCAGTCGGAAGCGAAAAGGCGAGACGACACACGACACAACACACTTTTAGTTTTGGAAGGTTTCGGAAATGTTTGGGAGGCTGCGTGGCCACTTGTTGCGGTCTCGGGAGGGTCATGGCGCTTCTAGGAGGCATGATGGAAGCTATCTTGAGCCATCGTGCGTTATCTTGCGCTATCTCGTTGACTATCTTGGGCTATCTCGGGCCCTCTCAGGGCTATCTTGGGTCATCTTAGATGGTGTCGGAGGATCGTGTTGCATCGTTGATGCATCGGCAATGCGGCTCGATGTCGAGCCCGACTTTCTGCACGCCGACCTCGCCGATGCAGTCGCGTTGCGGCGCGATCCTCCGACCCCATTTGCTCTGACTCCATCTGTGAGGCCTCCAATGTGGACGAGGATAGGGGATAGGAATGAGCAGATGTAGGTTGCGATGTCTTCGATCTTGTCACGGGGAATGGAGCTGGCAGGCGAGAGGGAGGGATGAGGAATGAGAAGGGCGAGTAGGAGAGGTGGGAAGCGTGCGCCAGGGTAAACAGGAGAGCATCGTACGGACGCCCCCTTGTCTCCCCCCCTGTTTTGTGTTGCATCTGGAG